CAAAACGGAAAATCTCAGAGTCGCAGGCCTGAAGGCTGAAACTTGAAAGTATTAAAGGAGCTGCTCAGTAAGGAGCACAGGGCGGGCCACCTGGGGCAACGGGGAGCACAAATTGGAATAGCGCCTTCCTTCTCTGCACCACCGGGGTGGATTTGTTGGGGAAGAAGTGGAACGTGCAAAGGCTTGTGTTCGGAGAGGGGGTTTGCAATGAGTACTCTTGTAGAGACCGTTACGGAGGAGCCCACTTTGGCTCTTGCACACCACCTCGCAGATCTCTCTCGGAAGCCAGAGGAGCAGAGCGCTTTGGTGGGTGCACTTTGTTATCTATCAATCAATGCTTGTTGAGGAAAACTGTCACGTGGTCGGTGATCTGCATGGTATCAAGGTCAACGGCCTCAGCATCGTTGGTTGCCTTGATTTTTAAGCAATTGGCGCCTCTAGGAGTTGATACAGCGGCCCATAACCTCGGTTGCTTCACAATCGATTGTTGCTCAAGAGCATAAGGGCCTTGCAGTTGCATGGTAATGGTGGTTATGTAGAGATGTGGGATTTGTAGAAGACGCTGGAACAAAGCAGATACTTTTGTCGCAAACAATTAAACCCAGTTACCTAACATTCAACGAGCTTGGCTGGGATGTTTATCAGTCTCGAAATGAGGAGGCACTCGATTGCTGTGAAGTATGCAAGAATACATATTGTAACATCTTGGGTGCTGAATCGCTGCCCGGCCACTTAATGCTCAAAAGTTAAGTTGCCAAGTCGTAGGCCCCTCACTCTACTCTCACTCTGATCTTTGAGCCGAGAAGAATTGAGCAGTCCACTTAATGGGTCGGCGAGGAATGTCTTCCTATCGTGCAGGTTGACAATCCAGAGGCTACCAGGTTCATTGGGCGGACTGAGTCGCTATTCTCAGAAGAGAACTGGGTGGAGCTTGTGGCCCATCTGCTGGGCGCCACCGATGCTCTGTTTGAGAAGGAGTTGAGCGACAAGGGTGAGCATCAATGCGTCTTTCGCATCTGCTTCTACGGCTCTCCCCGACACATTCAGAGGAAACAAGTGCACGACTGCGGAGAATCTTGCCCTTCAGGAGGTCGTTTGACATGGCATCTCCTCACACAACTATCTCTGTGGGTCAACGCCAAGCTCACAAGTAGAGCCCACATTACAAACAAAGCTAGGGAACTTGACTGTCAGCCACGACTAGCGGCACGCCTCACCTCCAATAGGAGTATGCTGTGCTGCCGTTATGCCAGATTCTAGTCTTACTGCCACCGGCGTGTGGCCTCGTTGGATGAGCACCAATGTGGTCAGCCCGTTGGTTTTTCGCAGATGTCGAGGGCGCCTTCACCATCATCGCCAATCTGGTCTCCAAGTCCTCCAGCCGGCAAGACCAGCTCTCCTCTGCAGAGGCCATCGCCGCCAAACTCTCAGCGAAACCCACCGACCGCCCTGCCCTCCGCCTCAGACTGTGAGTGTTTGTCACTCAACATTCTGCGGGGATGCTATGGCTGGTATCCAAAGCCATAGCTTGGCGAGGTTATCCGGAGCGGTCCTGATGGCCAATGGGTCGATTGCTGGGTGCTTTCAAACGCAACAAATGCGCCCAATCTGGCATCAACTTTTCTACAGTCAATGAAACAAGGGGCTATTGGGCCAATCTACTGGGGCCAAGATGTGTCACGCTTTTCACCACATTGAGCAGCTGTCCTAGCCCGTCAACCGTCCCCACCTCGTGGACGGGTCCTGGCCGCATGTGTTGTTCCCTTCCAGACACTGCCGTTTGTTGTGGCTGGGCTGATGTGCACATTTCTGTGCTTGTGCAGCCTGTTCTTTGTGTACAACCAGCTGAAGCACCCGTACGGGCGGTATGCGGTCTACGTCAAGGCCCTCGAGGTGGCGCGGGATGGCAAGGCGCCGGAGCAGGTGATCCCCACGCTGCGGAAGCTCGACGCGCTGATCAAGGAGTGGGCCATCGGGGGCAAGGAGCAGCGCGGCCTCTTCCTGCTGGCTACCCAAATCCTGCGGGAGGGCAAGACGTAAGAAAACAATGTTTTTGTGTCTAAGAGTTGGTTTTCTTCTGTAGCCTGTGAGTAGTCAGCAGGTTCGCCTTTGTTGGAGGGCATCTGTTTCAAATGGCGTGAAGTAATGATGCTATCGTGCAATTATTGGGACGACTGGGTGTGTTTCAATGAGCCAAGCATTAGAGAGGGTTTCTGCTTTCCAAACAGTGCTGACAGCAAAATGTCTGCGTTAAGGATCACACCACCACTCCTCGTCATGGCCGCTGCTCTTGATTGGCGAAGGGCATGCCAAAGTAAGCGGACCAATCTCGCATCTGCTTGCAGAGACTGAAGCTGATTCTTTGGTTGGAGGCATTCCGTCTTTCCGATCTGATGCGTGCTTTCTTGCAGCAAGGACTCAAAAAAGGACGCCTTTGCCTTCCTCGTCAAGTACCTGGCCACATTCAGCAAGGACGAGGCAAGTGCGCCGGAGGCAAAGGAAGGGGCGATCAGGGCAGCCGTCGACTACATCAAAACGCCTGACGCTTTCCAGGTAAGGGAGGCAGGAAGGTTTGTCGAATCAAGCAATTTGGCTCTTTGGAGATTGTTCTTACCTCCGACAATCTGAAGAGTGTAATTTGAGGTTTCAACCAGAGGCAGATTGATGCCAGGGGAGTAATTCATATTGAAGCACCCGAGTCGGAGGGCTTGTGGCAATGTCTCAAGCAAGCGCACCGAGTACTCACCCGTTTCCGTATCGGCTGGCAGTCACATGGCTGGGCTGCTTTGTCGATCAACAGGGCCAGAACGTGCACTTTCTGGTTGTGCAGCTCGGGTTTTGCACTTCACCCTTTCACGTGTGCAATCCCCAGCAAGAGGTTGTTCGGAGATACTTTTCGAGCGAGGGCCTGTGTTTGAGGTTAGCGAGGGCCTGTGACCAACTCGCTTTATTTGTGCACAACTCGACTTCGATTCGCTTGTCAGAACATCTAGCTTTTGTTCTTGCAGTCTGACCTGTTGGACCTGGCTCCCGTCCAAGCCCTGGAGACCGACACGGAGCACGCGCCCGTGTACGAGCTGCTGACCATCTTTCTGCTCAAGACGGTGGAGGCATACATCGGGTGGGAGAAGAAGCACGGGGCGCTCCTGCAAAAGCTCGGTAAGGGCCGCATCCTTGGAGAAGCGCGTGCTGCCAGCCTGCTCGCAAAGGAGACTGTTCGCCGCATGGCCGTTCAGTCCGTTGTCTTGCAAGAAGAACTAGATGTTCAGACGGCTCGGTAATAAGAACGAGCTTTTGGAAGAGAGGTGGGCTTTAATGGACAAAGTAATAACGGAATGGAACTAAAGTTGATTTTGCGCGAAGGCAGCATTTGACGAGTTTCTATCATGTTGCATGTGCGCAAGTGCGGCTCGGGTCGGTTCTGCTCTATCAGCAAGCTCACCGTTTGCGTGTCAATCAGCAATCACTGACCGTTCGTTTGTTTTCCACCTCAGGTCTGTCGCACGAGGACAACCTGACAAAGAGTCGGCTGCTGTCTCTGTCTGCGCTGGGCGCTCAAACGTCGTCTGGGGAGATCTCGTACAAGCAAGTAGAAGAAACGCTGCTGGTGAGAGACCTAGCTGGCGTCTCCTTAGGCCCATTCGTAGGGCTGATGGATGCATTTAAGGGCCTTGGGCGTTACTTGCAAGCTTCTTGTTCAGATCTGGTTGAAGTTGGTGCTCGCCGCCCATTCTGTTTGTTGCTTTGGTTCTTCTGAAGTGCCGAGGTTGCGAAATTTCGTGTCAAATGTCATCCATCATCTTGATTCGAACTGAAGTAGGACACATCCGCATGAACTTTGTTTTGGATAGTGCAATATGGAGGACCCTCGCTCGTGGGTTATGGTCAAGTTTGAAGAAGCAGAGGGATGCTCGTTCCTCTCCGCGAGATGGTTCTTGAGGTCTTTGCAGCCGCACATCTCTCACAGCATCTTTTCCACAGCTTTGGTATCCATCGGACTGAAGAGTAAACCTCTCCGCTTCTTGCAGATCGAGGAAGACGATGTGGAGCTTTGGATTGTGCGGGCGATCGCTGCAAAGGTCCTGGAGGCGAAATTGGATCAACTGCGACAGGTGGTGGTGATCAATAGAACAACACAGCGCGTCTTTGGGCCTCCGCAATGGAAGGAGCTGCAGACGCGACTAGCAAGCTGGCAGCAAAACCTTGAGCATGTGTCGGCTGTGCTGCACCGAGCAAGGGCGTCGGGACAAGTCATTCCCAACGGCGTCCAAGAAGCAGTCCATTAAACGTAGTCTGCTTGAACACACACCGGAAGCTTATCAATCATTCAAGTCCGATTTTTGGCTTGCTTTCGTGATTTTCACATTGATCCACCTCAGGCGGCTGCAGCCTGATGAGCTCAGAATCTTTTGTTACCACGTCTTTGTGACAACATTGCAATCTGCTAGTCAAAGGCCCGGACCATGTGCCAGCCCATGCTCCTGGTGATGCCCGGCTGCCCCAGCCGTCACGTGTATGTTAGCACATGCGCTGGCATGCTGTCAGTGCATAAATCAATTTAAAAAGCTTATGCACACATTATACGGTTACTGAGGTATATCTGCACAAGAATCATACTAAGCAGGCTAGGCTGCACTGCACACGTACTGACATGTTCGATCAATCACTGTACATGCACAATCAAATTATAGGCACATATAGGTATACATACTCACACCGCCGAATCCGCAGGTGAGGAACGCCCAGCAACGCTGTGGTGAACCACTCATACGTGAACCGCAGTGACTGCATTGCAGAGCTTTTTCAGTTCCGTTCCGGACGAAGAAACCTTCTGGCTTTTGCAACCAACATCATGATCGAATTCGAGTGCGAGGGGGTAGACCCTACGGGTGCACGACCTTCAAAATTGGACCCGGACGCGGTCCCCGCGGTCGCGCGAAATTTCACTCTATGAAATTTTGTCGCACCGTAGACTGCCGACTTGCGGCCGACACTTAGCAGAATTGGGTCAGGTTCTTGCGAAGTCCAGTCTGCATTTCAGTCCTGTAAGAAGTACCCTATCCCCCGGGCAGGTCAACCAGACCGTAGCAGGACTGCTTTGGGCGACAGCATTCTGCCCGGTTGGCTGTGCAGGCACGGCAGTCAACCGAGGACCCGCAAGGGGACAACAGTGCTCGGTTGAATGCCGCGCCTGCAAAGCCAGCCGGGCAGAATGCTGTCGCCCAAAGCAGTCCTGCTACGGTCTGGTTGACCTGCCCGGGGGATAGGGTACTTCTTACAGGACTGAAATGCAGACTGGACTTCGCAAGAACCTGACCCAATTCTGCTAAGTGTCGGCCGCAAGTCGGCAGTCTACGGTGCGACAAAATTTCATAGAGTGAAATTTCGCGCGACCGCGGGGACCGCGTCCGGGTCAATTTTGAAGGTCGTGCACCCGTAGGGTCTACCGTGCGAGGGCGAGTGGCAGTGTGGAATGGCTCCGCATTCACCGTCTCTGCGGGACGTCACTGACGTCACTGAGTTTTGCGTCACTGGTGAGGTGAATGGCGTCTGCCGCAGTGCTCTTCAATTTCGAAGTGGCTGGGGCAAAAACTTCATGTTCGCGCGGGCAGGCAGACATTGCCCCTGCAACGCCCCAGCGATTCGCTTTCAGGACACTTCCTCCCTCTCTGTTTGAGGTATTGAGGCTGGGCCGCTTCCATTCCGACTACAGGGTGGGGTCAGGATTGAGGCGCTTCTCGCCGAGGGCAGAGATTCCTTGGGAGGGAGTAGAGTCTATTGGAAGTTCCAACTTGGTTGACAGTGTGCCTCAGGCTGAACAGGTCAAGGATGAGGCACAGGCTCTCAAGTCGAGCATCAAGCGTGTGGAGAAGGAGATTGACGATGTGGAGAACAAGATTAAGACTGCTGCGGCTGCAGGCAAGAGCACAGAGTTCTTGCAGCAGGAGAAGGCCGCGCTGCGGCAGAAGGAGGCTGCGCTGGAGCAACGACTGATCGCGCTCGCGCAGGCGGAGGTGGAAAACTTGAAGCCGCAGCAGACACCAGGTACGTCTCCCGTCGTCTTACGCATGGAGAGCGGTCTCCTTGGAGCAGCCCAGCAATCCAGCGCACAGATGGGAAAAGACCATGAGCGGCGTTCTGCTGCCAATGTTGTGCTGCAGGCAGTTCCCCTGCTGCTTGTCGATGTTTCTCAAAGAGAGTGGTAGGGCACACCGCACAGAGGGTTTTCTATCTGTCTTTGCCTGCAGTTCAGGTGTCTGCTCAATGAGCCATGGCAATCTGTCTCGATTGTTGCTGCTTAAGAAGGGTTTTTGTATCTGGGTTTGCCTGAGATTGGTGTGTTGCTCTGTGGGTCATGGCAACATGCAGGCGGAAAGGTTTTGCGGTGCAGAGAAACTACTTCCAATCCCATAGCCTGCTTAGCATTTGCTGTTGGCTTATCCAGTGACTGCGTGTGGAGTGCTGACAGATAGCTTCGGTCGTGTGCAGCGGCGGGGGTTCCAGACCCTGCAGTCTTGGGTAAGTCTTCGTACCTGTCTCCACCTCTTGGCGTGGTGTGCTGAAGTGCTTGTCGCACCTGTCAGCATTGTCTTCTATTTGATCGCTGTTTCAGGTGCTGTTTGACTGGTGTAGAGTTTCTGCATTGGCACAATTCAGGTTCTGCCACTGGGCAGTGCCCACCACAAACAATTCGCTGTGTGGGAGGCTGGTGTGGAGTTTCTTGCATCCGCACGAGAGTGTCTGATCTGCCAGTGGTCAGCCCCCACCACACTATTGAATTGCTTGTTGTTCCAGAGAGGCTTCAGAAGTACGCTGAGTTCATTGCGCAAGCGGACACTGCCAGTGGAGTCATCCAGATTCCGCCCGAGCTTCGGGAGGGACTGCCGCCAGGCCTGAGGGATAGCATTGTCATTCGGGAGTGCTATCGCACGGTGCTGAAGAAGCTCGAGGTTCTTGGGAACAACTTTGCGGTCATCCTGAGTGGCACCCCGGGCATTGGAAAGTCTGCCTTTGCTGTCCTCCTCCTGCACTGGTTCGCAAAGCAGGGGGCACAAGTGGCATACAGGTGTGCATACACCAGTCCTGGCTGACTCTGAAGTCGCCTTGTAGTCGCCTGCTTTAGCATGTGTTGCTGAGCACCTTCCTTCTAACAAGGCCTTCCACAACGAGGGACAACGTGCTTCCTTCTTCTGTGCCAACCCTATCAGTCTGCCTCGCAGGTACATGGATAGGATCAGAAAGGACACCATACTTTTCTTCGATTTCTCCAATCCGTCGGCGATCAATGTCAAAAAGGCGTCTGAAGGCACTGCTTACTGGCAATCCATTCTAGGTAAGCGAACAGTTTGACATGTTGCACTGTGAAACCATCGTTTGGCAGCGAAGGGGTATAGTTGGGTTCCGGCTTCAAACAATTGCAAAGGTTATATGTTGGTGGATGCTCAGTGTGAACATGTTCCCCCAGGAAGTCAGGCGACGGTATATTCACCTCTAAAGAAAGCGCACTCCCTCTCGGTTTGGGCTACAATAAAGCGGGAAGTGACAGGGCTCTACTCATGCTCACCAGCAATGATCATCCTCTCTTGTGTTGCAGACCTCTGCGAGCGCCCTTCTGTCTGGCTAGTACAAGATGGACGGGCTCCCCGTGAAACGCAGTTCCCGGGCTACGGTCGCTGGGTGGTACTGTGCTCGCCCAATTCTGACAATTACATGGAGTTCGTCAAGGGGAAGTAAGTATTCGGACCATCGTCAACAGACCTCCAAAGTTAACTTCTTCATGGTTGGAGTGATCCTGGACCTCAAGGTGGCCAAGGTCCTTGGTTCTTGCCTGAGCTCGAATTGCGCAAATCTTAGTTTGCTCGCTGCTCGTTCCTTCATCTTATGCTGTTCTGTTATGACGGTCAATTGAATTCTGGCTGTATATCTTCGACGTTGCAGTCCTGGCAGGGTGTCTCTGAATCCTCTCAGGTTTCTGATTACCTGGCCTTTCGCTGTCCTACACCTGCGTCTTCCTCATTAAGTCATCGGGTATAGACAGACTTCCACCCCGTCTGACCCCTCGCTCTTGCCACAGCAGGCACTTTGCTTCTGTGACCTGCTCACAATATGAATTGACGTCGCAGGCACGCTGAAGTCTGGTGGCTCCCCGTGTGGACGCTAGAGGAGTTGCTGGAGTGCCGGCAGCGCTTCTACCCTGACATGTCACAAAAGCGGACGGAGGATCGCTTCGAGCAGTTTGGCGGGGTCGTCAGGAGCGTCTTGGCGGACCCCGGCCGATCGTTTGAGCATCTTGCGAGGTCACTCTCTGCTTTGGAGGCGGTGGACCTGTATGGCCTTGGCGCAGCACCTTCGGAGAGCGCCATACGGCACGCATTTGCGCACATTGAAGTGAGTCAGCTTGAGGCAAAGGAGGGTCGACTGATAGCCGACCATTCAGAATTTGGCTCGGTCTTCGTTGTGCTCGTGTCTTTACCTTAGATGGCTTGCATGTTTGCAGTGCAAAGGCAGGTGGCGTTGTGCCTGGCTCTCATAGGTCTCCAGCATGTATACGACGGCATCCACTCACTTGCAGAGGGACAATTAGCGCTTGACCTCCTTTCCAATCTGTCCATGTAGGCGACGAAAGATCTGGAATTTGATGGGTTCCGCCTCGGTTCGCCGCGCATCGGGGACCTCGTCTTTCAAAAAGCCAAGGAGGGCCGATGGCAGGATCTAGTGGACCTGCTGCACGCGGCTGCCAGCAACCCTAGGGTCGGCGAGATTTCAGGGTCCTCGTTGGAGGCGTACGGGCATGTGAGGTGCGTCCTGGGCGTAGACCTGGACGACGACGACATCAAGGAGGTGTTCCGAAAGCGGGTGGGTCGGCCTCGGAAGCAGGAGGGAGCGAAAGAGGGAGCGAGGGAGGGCGGGGAGGTGTCCGAGAATGACCCGGGTCAGTCGGGAGAGCGGGAGGAAGCGGTTGAAGAGATCAAGGAGGCGTTCCGGAGCTGCAAGGATTTTGTGTCCGACAGCAAGGAGGAGGGGATCAATCCGGCGGATCTGAAGCACACGTACGTCCGGCCAACCGCAAGAGATCAGG